CTGAGCTGTTATCCATAATGGAGTGGCTGGTAAATCTTGATATTCTTCGACAGTATTTCCTTCCTTGACAACTCGTGGCTGGTGAGTCTATTGACATTCTTCTCTTTCCTTAATTGACTGCAAGTGCCAGTATTTTTAGTCACACATCATTTTGCGTACTTTTTTTCCCCGTCACTAGAGTGCAATAACTCCCTCAGCCATGATTAACACCCCCTGAGTGTGTGTGAGGGATCCTGTGTCAGAGTAGTGGAGCGTGTGTGTGCTTGCCCAGCCAAGCCTCAGGACAGACAGACAACCCGCGTCTCCCACTCGCCCACCCCTATACACACACACACACACACACACACACACACACACGTCCATGTCGATACATGCACAGACAATGCCCCCTCCTGTTTCCCCCCCGCAGCCATGGAACACTCAGCCAGCTGACCCGGGCTGGGCTCCATCCCTGCCCGAGGGAAGGCTTCTCCTGCTGGGGCCACAATCCCACTGACACGCCGCGGCCTGGACTTTATCCACTCCATCTGTGACCGTGTTTTCTCCAGTCTCCCGTCTGGGGACGAGGCCCGAGTGCCGAGCACGAGATGGAACTGATAAGAGCGTAATAATTCTTGACTACCTGACAAAATGTAATCAGCCTGCCTCGGCGGCTACGGTCTGGAACTAAATACACACTTCTCATGAGTCGGGTTCTCACACGAGCAGTCGGCTTGACAGTCTGTTTTCGTAGATTAGTGCATTGCAGCGCAGTACGTCACGAGAGAGGATACACAGACCGCTTGTGTTACAACATCGCCATATGATATCACAAAATGTGTAGAAAGCAAATCCCGTGAGTTAGTGTGGAAATGAACAGATTGCGCCAGCAGCGGGGGGAACATGCGTATGGCTTGTACAACATTAACCTCAGACGAAGTGTTGGAGAAACATTTGACTGACAATTGCGTAATTCTTTGATTGATGTGCATTTTATACTTTTTTTTTTTTTTAAAGGAACACAGACTCAACGAGGCAGCACAGTATATGAACGGGTAGCACCTTGTTGTTGTGAGGTTCAGGATTTTCAATTTTAACTGTGACCTGTTCTCCCCATGCTAGGTTCATGGAAGACTCTTAAATTTTCCTTACATGTGAATTCTTGTCAGGGGATATAAGAAGTCTACACACCCCAGTGCAAATACCCGCATTTTGTGATTGAAGTAAATGATTTCCAGAGTGGTTTTTTTTCCACCATTCTTGTGACTGACAAACTCTACAACGTAAATATTTATGAGAAGCGAAGTGAAAAAAAAGGGAAGTTACTGCACAGGCTCACCAGCAACCCAAATGAGGACTCAATAAATAAAAACAGAAATGGCATTTAATCGTAAAATATTTGCGGTATTCATCATTTGTTGAACTGTGTCCAATTTTTGGTCATTAGGTACTTGAATCCCAACCACTCAGACGTGTTTTGCATATTTTGAAGGTCAAAAAGTGTTTATCACCGTGAAGCTGTTTTTTAAAGGCAGCTGGTCAAACCAGCACCTTAATAAGATGTTTGGTTTCAGTGAAACATGCACATACTTGACTTTGAAGCAAGCTTTTTGTAACTTTTTTAGACTTTTTTTTCGTCCCGTTTCTTTCTGTTTAATAATGCATACACTTTTTCTTACAAATGCATTCATAAATTTTGAAGGGAAACAAAAACTACATGTTTGCCAGCTGTATTTACATTTCCATCCTATTTAACGCATTGTATCTGCGTCTGTATCTTGTTGATTCTTTTTACCATGCTCCAGACGTGGCAAAAGTACTCACACTGTCTGATTCTGAAAATTTTCAGTTTCGTAAATCTTTTTTTTTCTGGGTTACTTCCCAATAATACAAGACAATTTTGTTACCGTATTCTTTTCCTTTCCGTTCCTGTTTGTCTCACAATTTTTTTTTTCTTACAGTGATTGTATGATTTTACAAATGTATTTGCAACTTTTCTGAGTGGGGAATATGCATTTTCTTGGCTTTTTTTTTTTTTTTATGTGGACGTGCTATTTTGACTGTCTGCCCGATGCAGGTAACTATTTTGAAATCACCTTACGAATTACGCCTTGTTGACTCTATTTCTACAACTCCTCATGGGTGTTTTTGTGTTGGTGTTTTTTCTCTCTTTTTGCAGTGGCAGCTGGAGGGCGCGTCTCCGCTTGGTCCTCTGAGTGAGCGGGGCAAGGAGGCAGCTCCCTGTCGATGATTGGTTAGCTCGGGGTAAGGGGCGGGGTTACGAGTTAATAAAACAGACGGGAGTGGAGCTCCGGCCGAACAGATAGTAGAGTTTCGTTACTCTGATTGGAACGACTGACCCACTTCGAGTAAAACGTAAAAGAAAACTCGCGTGAGTTTATAAAAGCGCTGCTTGTTTGGTGAGAAGGTTAAACCATGGATTTGGTGCGTGTGCTGTGTTTGGTGCTGAGCGTCGGAGGTTGGTTCGCCTGCGCGGAGAGGCACAGCGTCTACTGGAACAGCTCCAATCCAAAGTAAGTGCGGGGAGGCAACGTGCGTCCACTGTGATGCTTGTTGATGATCTTTGAAGGCGTTCAACGTCATTTAGTTCGCCGTATTAGTTCGACTTGCATTCATTTGATGTAGACACACAGCATCCTATGCATCTGACTTATTCCAACAGCAACAGTTCGGACAGCTAGTGCACTAGTTGGCTGTGTATTGAACAGCAATGCACAGTGTAAAGGCAATAAATGGATGATGCAAAATCGTCACTTAGTGCCACATCTCGTGCACAGAATCCTGATTGAACTTCTTTGCCGTGGGGGGGGGGGGGCAGAAACGTAATGCCAGCCGACCACACAATAGAATCCACGCGGCTTGACGTGGAGGAGTGCGATTAATTGAGCTTTCGGTTCGGGCTGTTTACACAGAAAAGAAAGATTATTTTTATTTGGTTGAAATAGGACTGACTGTATCTTACACCCCCTTATTGCTCGTTCGTTTCATCGAGACTAAAAATAAAAAAAAAACTGCAAGGCAACAGCCATTTAAGCCCTACGTCTTGATTACGTTAGTGGCGCTCCAGTTGATCTTTACCATGATAATAAGCCTCAAAAAACGGACATCAGTGCCTGCAATTGAATGTTTTAAAAAAGGGGCAGGCTTGTAGTGGAAAGTTTGCCGGCATGAGTTGTTTTGCTGTCATGAGTGATTCAAAAGGTTGGACACACCTGAGTCACTCCACCTGAGGGGAGTGGGGGGGGCAGGAAAGTTTCCTGGTGGGTCAAATGGACTTCACAACAGTTACTAGGAGGTTTTATTTGTTCACATTTCTCCGAAATGCTCTCTCAGGCCATAAATTTGACACCGGCGCACTATGGAAAATAACAGGAGTGGTCATAATATGTCACACGAAGTAAATATCCTACCCACCATTTCATTTTTGTGCGGCGTCTAAACAGAGATTGAACTCATCACACACTTCCAGACTGACAATCCTCTTCATTTTAATCCTCAATCTGGTCCCCACCCCCTGGTGATCAATCGGTCACCTGTTGGGGGGGAGATTCACTAAATCCGCCAGCACCCTTTGACAGCCCCGTGACTGTGGATAAGTGATGCTAATTGATTCTCTGTCTCGATTATACAGCAAGTGATTTGTCTTAGGGATGAGGACGGTAAACAGATGGTAGCAGACTGCCCATTCATGTAGGCGTGTGTGTGTGTGTGTGTGTGTGTGTGTGTGTGTGTGTGTGTGTGTGTGTGTGTGTGTGTGTGTGTGTGTGTGTTGGAGAAGTGTCCGCTGGTAATGATTTAGTGTGTATGTGTGCGTGTTCCTTCATGACAGGTGGTGAGGCGTGTTGTTCGCAGGTCTCTTCTTGTTTTTCATGTTGCATGCCTCTTCTTGTGTGTGCCCGAGTCGAAGAGTGGCATTACTTCATAGAAGCTTTTGGTACCTCCAGCCATCTTTGAATGGGAAATGATTGGAGATTAGTGGCGGGCTACTGTGATTGCGCACACGTCAGAGTCAAATAGGGAGAGGCAATCAGTTCAGGCCTCGTCACGTAGACATGAAAATGTGTGAGTCACACGTACACACGCTGAAGGGTGGTGAGAGAGGGGCGGGTGGACTTCAATGTTAATATTAGCATCGGGCGGCATTCCTGTGCTGTGGTCCACGCAGTCAGCTGCGTGTTTAGGAGACATTTTTCTGTGAGTACCTGTCTGCTCTGTTTCTCGTTTTGTTTTTGTCGTTTTTTTTTTCCCCCCCTGAACTTGCTCCAGACTCCTGAATATCATCCCACCCGCGCATTCCCGTGATTTGTGTGTCAGGACTCCGGCGTGACGTCTCGCCGTGATTGCAGAGGCAGTCGGCCGGGCCTGTCTCAGCACGAGTTAAAGTTAAAGACGGTCAAAACAACGACCCCCCCCCCCACACTCCTCCCCTCCCAGCCAACGTCCAACTCCCTCGCTCCTAACCCTCTCCTTTTCATACCCAGCCCGTCTGCTCCCCCAGGGCCATTTAATCCCGCCAGAAGGAGATCGCATACTAACATAGATTACAGACGGTTTGTAATCTGACCCATAGACACAAAACTATCATCTCACTGGCTTGGCTCTGTGCTATTTTTGATCCTCTCCTGTCATCCGGTGATATAACATTTTGGCCCGTTTCATTACATTATTTTCTCTAGAATCTATGAGGCAAAAATAGCCACCAGGATGAATCCTTGCATAATCTCTGCTATGGGTTTTATACTCAGAAAGTAAGTCCGGTCTATCATTGTACTTTCTCCTTTCTGAGTGCGGTTCTATCAGCATGGCACATGCGGAAGGGCTTCAATTACTGGTTGTCAGGGGCGCAATTTTTCAATACAATTTAGTTCTTGGCTCTTATTGGCTGACTCCAAAATCTGATATAGACAGGCAGTCAGGCGAACTTTATTTATATCACGTATTTCATGCACAATGTACTTTACATAATTAAAAACACATGTGAAAGCATTTACAAACAAAAATACTAAAGACATCTGAAAGCAAACTACAGAAATAAACAATTCAACATAGTTCCTTGGGACCACGATGCTGGCAAAGCACTGCTATTGTCCAAATAAAGCACCTCAACAAAATTCCTTGACACAAATAGACGACAAGACGGTGACAAAGCACGCCTTTTGTCAAAATGAAGCTCCTCAAGTGTCTTCAACATAGTTCTATGGCACCAAGATGCCACATCATAGTGAATGCCAAACCATGAATAGATAAGGTTCGCTGTAATTACCTTTGAGTCCATTTGTGTAGTGTGCCACTAATGACAGTAATGGAGCCATACATCCCCCTTTTTTCTGAGGATGCATTAAAAAAAAAAAAAATCAATAACAAGGCCAAGTTCTTTATCACCCATCACTCACTTGTCTGTGGATGTACTCCAGCTCTGTGATTGTCCTCTCTTTCTTTCTCCTATTCCTCTCACTTCCTTATCTGTGCTCCAGACTTCCGCCTTCCTCCTTCTCTCCTCGACTCACTTTTACGCACCCCACCCCCTCCCCAAACCATTTCTCACAGATCCTCCTCTGTTTTGGCCCTGGTATTTTTCCACTGGAGGTGGACAGTGCACCTCTCAACTCTGCTCGTATCCCAGAGGCCCGGCATTGTAGTATGTGTGGGCAGGCATGCGTTATATGTGTATGTACACTGCCCATTCATTGCATTTCAGACATAGTTTTGCAAATCCACCCTGTAGCCCACCATCGCCCCCTTAAGGCCAGTTTTGGCTCTGCCGGGTGGTTTTCTTTAGCCTTAATGAAATCAGAACTTGGTAGATTTATAATGCAAGCCTCTCACAGAATGTATCCCCATGTGGGTACCCCTCCACCACATTCTTCCGAGATGATACCATTTAGCCTTTTTCTATTCATGCCTGACAGAATAGGAGGATGTGAGGGGGGGAAAAAAGGGGATGGGTGAAAGGATTTAGGGGGCAGAGGGGAGGAGTAGAGGTCTTGGCATAGGGTGAAAGAAGGGTGAAGCTGTGTGTTGAAAAATTAGCCTGGATGAAGAGCCCTGGTATATTAAGTCAGCATTAAGAGACGGAAACAACCCCGAGGTGAAGACGTGGGGGTTGGGCTCATTTGTGAGAATAAAGGCAATGCAGACGAAGGGAGGAGAGAGTGGACAGTGATGGATGAAGGGAGTGGAGCAGTTTGGGGGCTTCAGTGGGTGTGAAATGGTGGCGGTGACAATTTTAAGCCCTCTTATTCTGCAAATGTCAAAAAATGTCTATTCGCAGAAAAGCAAATAGCGGGTAGAATTGGGCTGGGTTGATCATCCCCTTAGGAAACATTGTGCAAAAAAAAAAAAAGGCTTGACTCGGATGACCCTTTGACTAGATTTCCTTGTAGGAATCACATATGAGATGAAGCGATCTCTGTCTGATTATTCTGAACTCCCCTTCCAATGCCATTTGCTTGTCATCAAGCCGGAATTCCATATTTTGTGTTCGAAAAATTCCACCGCCTAATGAAAAAGACACAAAAAATAGGCTTGAATTTAGGATGGATCCACAGGTTGCTGATACCATCATTTTGAATTACTTAAAATTCAGGATATCTTAACTTTTAATTGTTCTGCCTGTCACTAGATGTCACTGGCGTAGATGGATGAACAGTTTGTCGTCCGTAAATAATAGATGGAATAAATCAAATGTTGTGATTCACTTCTCTTTAGAGGTATCAAACGCCATGTTGTTGTTTTTCCTTTGACAGCAAAAGTAGTCTGAGAGACGACTCTGCTGGTGCGCTCCCAATTTGTCGCAATCAGTCAATTAACCCCGTGCGAGTGGCAGAATGAGTAATGATCCGTTCATCAAGTACTGTTATTATTAGGCCCAACCTTTTACTGCATAATAGTGGCACGGCACTCAAGTCAATAGACTGTAATGGAGTGATCCAACAGTGGAACATTGACAGCTCCTTGGCCGGGGCTAAAGAGTCGGAAATGTGACACGCCGCAGTGAATTCATCAGGTATTAAACGAGCACATCTGAGTACAGGTTCTTCGCACTAAACCGTCCAAACCGCAAGCCCCTTGTCTTAAACATTCCAGTGCGCCCGCGCTTGCTTCCGATCACCTGAGTAGCAAATGGCGCTTGCGGGGTGCATCGGAGGTTCATCTGTTGAGCGTTTCCATGTTGCTGACTGCGGTTTTGCCCGTGCGAAACAGATTTATACGCGTGCCGCCGCTGACTCGGACGCGAAGCGTAGCAACCGTGAACTCTGACCTCCTGACCCACGCGTTCCCCAGTGAAAAAAAAAAAAAGAGTGTCAGTTGTTTGACCCAAACCAGCCAGTCAAGCGCTGCGGGGACAAATGGAAGCACTGTAGCCGGCGGGGTCAGGGTGAAATGGAGAAAGGGCCAGCGAATGAGGGAGGGGTTGAAGTCGAAAAATGCGACGATGGGCGAAACGAGTTCGCCGTAGGCACTCGCGTGCAAACAATGCCCTCCAAAAAGCTCATTAGTGGGAATCGACCCACCTCTGCCACAAACAGACAGTCGACCTTAATAAACAGATGTGTTCATGAGCCCGCCGGCAGGAGTTGCCCTCAATAGCCACGTTGGCAGCAGGCGCTACGCTTCATTTCGGCACGTTGCATTCTCGTACCAAAGTGATGATTCTTTGAGAGCGAAATGTGTCTCGCGCCACCTTAAATCCTCTTTCCACCAAGCAGTACAATTGAGAACACGACCTGGGCACTGTTCCGTCCCCACGGCATTACCAGTAGGGCGGCGGCGATGAATTGAATCCTTTTTTTTTTTTTTGCCTCACAAGCTTCGCAGGGAACATTTATCTACATTGGCTGATGTTACCGCAGTCGCGCGTACACACACACACACACACACACACACACACACACACACACACACACACACACACAAAACACCGTGTCAAGGTTATTAGAGTTCACGAAAAAAATAAAACTAACATTGATAGTCATTTTATATATGTACCATAACAACACTTTTATGCTTGGCAACGCGAGTTACTAAATCAATGTTAGCTAAATTGATATAGGCTACCGCTAGTTAGAATGTATATTCATGTCCCCGCAAGTGAAGGATAGACACATTCGCCGGTCACTTTCGCTCACTTTATTGAAAAACGGTGAGAAAACAAACGCATATTTGTCCACAACTTAGGCCAAGTTGCTGAACTTTCCGAGTGGCTAACTGCTTAGCTTGTTCAAAGCTAGCCAACCGAACACTGTCATTTGCTGTCACAAGGCCAGGCCCCTCCTCTTAAAGCCCAAGTAGACAAAAATAATACCTTGACTTCACGTGCACGTTATTGTGTTTAGTTGCGTATCATCTATTTTTTTCGGGGGGGGGGGGGGGTTATCCGATGACTCATTTAATCGATGGGGTAATCAGGAAAGCCAGAGCAGTAATGGGCTTTCCCGCAAATGAAGAAAATCCACTTCCAATTGCCGCTCATTATAAGTACATGTCAAAGAAAGGACAGAATACAACAGGGTTGATTCATCCAAACTGTACAGCGGAAAATCAAGTCGAATCGGTCTGCGCCACTTCATCTGTTACCTGCGCAGGCGCTTTGACAAAACGGGAGTTCTTCAGTACCGTTTAAACTGCAAGCCTTCTGAAATGTGCTCCTCTCTCTTCGTGAGACTAACGTGGGCCTTCGGAGCGCCCTTCCCGTGAGAATCGCGCACGGGAAAAACCTGAGCAGATCGGTGTGAGCACGCACACGCACACCTGGCCGCGTAACCACACGACACGGCTTCGGTATCACGTTAATGCGACTCTCACGCCCGTGAGAAGTGGCAGCCGGTGGCAGCGAGTCTCGCGGCTGCCGGGAGAGCTTTGATGGGCCAGATGTAAAGCGGCGGGAAACCAGTGGCCCTTGGGAACAAAAAAAAAAAAAAATCCCCGCTGAACCCACAAATGCTCATAATACATCATAATAAAACGTTTTCCGATTGTTGCATCATACGGCTCTTTGGATACATTCCAAAACAACTGTTGGGTTTAATTGTGAGGAAAAAGTCTGCCTGATGAGCTCATAAATTGAACACATCCCCTCCAATCACTAACATGAAGGCTCCATGGGAGGGGGGTGTGTATGGGGTGGGGGGGGGGGTAAGGTGCCGAGGTTGGAGGAGGCTCGGAGCCTTCAGGCCTCCAGTCTCAATGGGGGAAGGCTCTAATTACGCCCGATTCATTTCTCCTCCCTTCCTTTTCTAGTCAACACATTGGCCCCCCCACGCCGCTTAACAGCTTTTAATTATCTCGGCCATTGGAGGCGCTGAATAAAAGGAGGCTTTTTCCTAATGATGAACGCCGTGAACGGAATTGGCGACACTATCCGTTTGCTCCTCTTTGGCCCCGAGCCGCTAGATGGAACCACTAAAGTGACAAAACAAAAGCCTGTTTAGCCAATTAGACTGAGCCAAGTTATGCCGTCGCTAAAACACGCATCGACACACAAACTTGCACTCCGGGTACAGCGGCAAGCATTTCTTCATTATCCTTGATATCTCGCTTCAAGTTCTTGTCGTATGCTCTTTGCCCTCTCACGATAAAGCAGTTCCACGCCCTGCTCTCGTGCGATGACTGTGCATGAATCACTACATTGTTACTAGTGAGGCAAAACTGTTCCGAGTTGAGACTGCATGCTTCTTGTACTACAAGTGACGTAGCATCCAGCTCTTTGCTAATACAGTGGTACCTCTACATATGAAATTAATTGGTTCTGTAAGAAATTTCTTAACTAGAACATTTTGTAAGTAGAGACGCGTTTTCCATGTAAATGCCCTAATTCGTTCCAAGCTCCCCCAAAATTCTGACATAAATGTTTCCTAAAGCATAAAAATACATCAAAATATGGAACAAATAGATGTTACTATTAGATTATTGCACAATAAATGAGAGTTGTTCATAATGTAAAAAAAACAAAGAATAAAGTATAATAATGATGGTCTTTTAACTTTTAACTGCATCCTCACCGTTTTTTGCCCTCTTTCGTCCATGTTCTCTCTCAGAAGTTGTTTTTGCCTGGCGTTTTGTAAAGAACTGATCCAAGGACGTTTGCTTTTATCGGCTTTTAACAATCCTTCGAAAATGTCAAAGGCAAACATCAACATAGTGAGCGATCGCTCGACCGGTGAACACTTTTTCTGGGTGATTCACATTTACGTAAAACTATCGGAACGCCTCATGACCCGAGGGGCAAATGACGAGGACGCCGCATAGACACAGATCTATCTATCTATCTATCTTTCTATCTGCACACATAGACACATACGGTAGAAGTCCCTCTCAGCCAATGGGATGCCAGGATGATGTTCGGTAATAGCCAATGGCAGAGCAGCTATAAGTATGTTGCGTTCAGGAAAGTCGGAGCTGCGAGTAGCAGGCCATACTTTTTACCTTTCGTATCTTGAAATTTCTTTCGCAACAAGAGGCAATATTTTCCTGTTGAGACATCTCATAACTTGAAAATTTCGTATGAAGCGACGTTAGTAAGTAGAGGTACCACTGTATTAGAAGGAGCACGCAGATGTCAAATGGTGCAGTGATGCCTCACGAGTAACAAGTAGTTGTTGTACCAGTGCAACCTAGTCACACAGTGGTGAAAGGTAGGAGTGGGGGCGGCTGTGGGGTGGGGGTGTTACTCGTGAAGGCATAAGGCATAGTTAGTACATGGACCTGAAGCTGATGTTGAGTAGCTACGGTGACAGGGTTGATTGATTGCTTTAACTCAATGTCTAAACGTGTCACGGAAAAGAGAAATAAAACAAGGCAACAACTTGGCTATGGTTTTACATGTTTGAGGAATTGCAAAGAGCGGTTGCGTGTAGCTGTCCAACCTATTAGCCCCAATTATTAAAGTTTAGAACCGTGCTCAGCTAACAAAACATGTTTTGACTGGAGGGTTACGGCGAACACACTCGCACGTCTCCACACATGCAGAGGCAGGAAGGAGGGGTTAAAGGCCCCTGATTGGAGCCGCTGTGTCTGCTTTGGCCAGGGGGGTCCAAGCAGGAGACGCAACATCGGGGGGGGGGGGGGGGGGTTTAAAGAGGCACCACGTCCTGCGCTTTGATGGCGACAGACGCACAAACGCCACACAGGAGCTGTTGTCGTTTTCACTCAATGCTGTACTCTCGTTCGCAAGCGGGTTTCAATTCAAATTAAAAGCCCGCCATTGATAGATTGCTTTCCTCGCATATACTTGGGCATACTTTGCTGGAAAGCAGCACAAATCGTAGCCCGTCGTTTGTGACGACTTGGGTTTTTTTTTTCATTATAGTTTTTTTTTTTATTTCATTTTGGCGTTGTTGTTTAAATTCTGTTATTTTTAATATTTTTTTTTTTAGCAGGTCTACATTTTTTTAATTACATTAATGTTTTCACATCTGCATTGTTTTAATTTTTATTCGTTTTAGTGTTGGTTTTAGTTTGTTTTATATTGGAAGTATTTCTTGAGTGCAAGATTTAAAAAAAAAAAAAAAAAAATTTGGAATAAATCCTCACAATTAAACTAAATGAACAGTCATACCGAATTGAATACATTTAAAAATAACTCTGCAAATCTCATAGTTAGTTATCAGCGAGTTTGATGTGAAGCAACCTTTCGCGGAGACGATGAGACTTGGAAAGAGCCATAAAACCGAAAGGAAGGACAAAGATGAAAAGAGAGCGGGAGGGCGACAGTCTGACTCGACCGCGCCCCCTCTGTCTCTGTCTTTGAAGGAAGCAAAGTGGAGAAAAACACATTGAGACTGTAAAAAAAAAACACGTGTGAGTGTGTGTGTGCGTCTTGAAAAAAAGGTGTTCAAGCGGTAGCGAGAGTAAGTGTAAGGTGTGTAAGCAGGATGGCGCCAAGGCTGAACAAGTCCAACCTGACTTTTAAGTTGTCACACTAATTAGCGCTTTATGCAACCAAGTTGAACTACAGCAACACTGTGCACGTGCACCAGAAGGGAAACAGGTGCGAGTTGCATTATGCCACGCGTAATTAAACCTCATTATTCGTGTCAATGTGGTTGCTTGCAATCAAAACATTTGTGAGGCCCTCGATCGTTAAATGTGCCTTTCTCGCCCCTCCCCCCTCAGCTTCCTATGGGACGACTACACGGTGGAAGTCCGCATCAATGACTACCTGGACATCATCTGCCCGCACTACAGCCACGGCGAAGTGCCGCCGCACTCGGCCGAGCGCTACGTGCTCTACATGGTGGAAAGGGACGACTACGACGTGTGCAAGCCGCACTCTTTCGACCAGCTGCGCTGGGAGTGCTCGCGGCCCTTTGCCCCCCACGCCCCCGAGAAGTTCTCGGAGAAGTTCCAGCGCTTCACCCCCTTCACCCTGGGCAAGGAGTTCAAGCAGGGAGAGAGCTATTATTACATCTGTAAGTATTTCGTGGAATTATTCATGAGAGTACGGCGCAAACTATTAGGTTGAACGCAGGCGATGGTTCAGGAAGGTTCGGATAAACGCGTTTACACCCCCGCCCCAGGAGAAGTCATGGAAAGCAAAAGTCAAATTGTAGCCAAACCATTAGGAACCGTGCAGAGTTTCAAGTCCAACAAAACAATTTTAATCAAAGAGGGTCACGGTTTCAAATTTTGTTTTTTTGAGTTTTCACATTCCTAACGATCGTACAAGTGTAAAAACAAGTCGACCACTCTATATTTACGACGACGATCAATTAAAACCGCTGACCACTCAAAATACACATCAAGGAGGCGTGAAAAGGAAAAATTGAAGACCGTTTTCATCACAGTGGATGACTGTTTGACGGAAAGCTTCGCTGCGAAGTAGAATTTGTCAAAGTGAAAGATTTTATCATTCCCAACATGCCACACGAGTTTCAAAATAAGACAACCACTGTCGGATACGACAAAAAAATAACGTCAAAATACTCACCATTTGAGCCTCATAGACACATAATGGAGACTGTATTTCACCATACACGGTAAGCTTCTCTGCTTTGTAAACATGTCAAATTCTAACAGTGTTACTGACGTGGAGGTGCAAAAACAAGTTAGCAACTGTTTAAGTAACAAAAAAATAAATAAAAATGGAAAAACATGCACTATGAAATGAAGTTAATTTTCAAGACTGTATTTTAAAATATGCACTAACAATAAGTTCCCTCTGTGTGTGCTCCCAACAGCCAAGCCGATGCATCATCACGGCCAGGAATGTCTGAGGCTCAAAGTGGACGTGGCCGGACAGAAGGGCTCGGCAAAGACTCACGCCGGCAAGTCCAAGGCTGACGCGGAGAAGAGCACGGACGCGTCAAAAGCCAAGTTTGTCTCTGCCGGCGGAGTTCACAACTTCTCCAATCGTCTCCCGGCAGGTGAGGAATCAACCGGCAGACGGGGTGCTTTTTCCACCCCC